CAGGACTGGAGGTCCGAGGTTGGCAGCGTTGTGGGGGGAGTAAGGGGGAGGCTGAAACAGGCCCCAGTCCTGTCCCTCTTGGCTCTGGCATCTAGTTGCACATAGGAGCTAGGAAGGCTCTGCTCTCACCCTAGAATGTTCTATAGCCCTGCTAATAACAATGACAACTTTGACTAGAATTTACTGAGTGCCTACTACATGTCAAGTGTCATTCCTAGTGCAGTACCTGAATATGCCATTTATCCCCTAGCAGCCCGTGAGGTGGGTTCTACTATCATTTTCCCCTTACCCAATGGGAAAACTGAGGCCCAGAGAGCTAAAGTAACATGTCTAAGGCCACACATCTGGTAAGTACTGGAGCTGGGACTCATGCCATGCTGTCTGATGCCACAAACCAGGTTATCAGTAGCTACCCATCTTGCCTCAGGGGCTCGGGTGGTGCACATGACTTTCTGAGCCTGAGATGGTCCAGCACCTGCCCCTTACCCATCTGTGTCAGAGCTGCCCCTGCCTTTCTGTCCCTCTATATCCAGACTGGTCCAGGCTCTCTCTTTCCCTCTAGCTGCACAGGCAGGCATCAGGCCTGGGCCACAGCACCAACATGGGGAGACACAGGCAGAGGGCATCAGTAGACAATCTGGAGCAGCAAGGCAGGGGGGAAAAGCCAGACTTCAGCATCAGAATGGCATTGGGGCCCTCTTGAGCCTCAGTCTCCACATCTGTAACATGGGAACAGGAAGGACCTGCAGGCAGGTTAGGCTGAGGGGAGGTGTGGCCCATGCCTCCCTCAGGCCTGGCCACAGAAAGGTTGGTAAATGATAGCTGGGGCAGGGTCCTGGCTCCTCAAGACCTTGAGGGGCTGTCCTGGGACTGCCCACTGAGAAAAACCAGAGCTGGGTCCCCCAGGATCTCCGGCCACCATTAGGGTCAGAATCCTGCCTCACAACTGCCTAGCTGTGTGGCCGTGGGCAAGGCACTCTGCCCCTTTGGCCTTGGATAACGGGAGAATGATGTTTACTCATGCTTGGCGTACAATGTCTTAGCTGAGAATTATCTTTATTATCCCAGGGTACCTTCCAGCCCCCCGGACACCCCTCCATCCTGGCAGGCAGGCTGGGGTGGGGGCAGAGTCATGGGAGGCACATGTGTGGGGAGAACAGGCTGGGCCCAGACACCAGGCTCCAATGTAGAAGCCACCCCCAGGTGCCAATACTGTAGGAGGTGGCAGAGAGCCGCCCCACTGCCCTAGTTTCCCAGAGAGCTTCCTTGCTGCAGTGGGGAGAGACTCGGCACACAAATGCACATGCAATGCACACGCGTGCACATCCAGGTCCATGTGTGCCCCCCGCCCGGGACAGCCAGAGCCTGGCACTAAAGCCAGCCCCACTCCTGGTATCCTCAAACCCTCCAGGGCACAGGACATGGGAAAGGGGATTCAATCCCAGCTCTGCCTTTTCTGCGACTTGGGTCAACTAGCTTCCCTATGTGGGCCTCCATTTTTCATAGGGAAACAGGGATAATGGCATCCCTCTCCTGCGTGAGAACCAGTGATGTTCCATGTGTGAAGAGCCTGTGCCAGTTCCTTCTCCTCACGCTCCTCCCTGCCACCACCACAACGTGTCAGGCCTCTCCGCTCAACCCCAGCATTGCCACTGCTGCTGCTCTGTGCCCCATTAAAGCAGCCTCCTTATTTCCTTGAGGCTCAGAGATTTCATCCCTCTGTGCCTCCTCTACCCAGGTGGCTGAGAGCTCCTGTCACTGAAGCAGGGACAAGCTCTCTCCAACTGCACACCCAGCTCCCCCTGTCCAGCACTACCCCTGGCAGCCCTCAGTAACTGACACCCAGAGGGAGACAGCGGAAGAAACCGGAGCCGCCTCCCCCACCACAACCACAGCAGCCTGGATACAGGAACCTGAATGTCACCCAGTTCAGACTGAACTGGCTCTGCTGCCCACCTGATCAGCCACCAACCATGGCAATGACAAGCACAACTACTCCACTGACAGGCCCTCACCATGTACCAGGTCATATGTAAAGACTTCTCATGCATCATCTCATCTCATCTTCCCAATACACCTATGAGAAAACAACTGCTGTGCCCATTTTACAGATGAGGAGACTGATGCACAGAGAAACCATGAACCCAAGTCTAGCTCAGGACTTGAGGTCTGCACTCTACACTTTACTGCTAGGTCCACCCACAGCTCCTCAGAAATGCCCAGGACCAGGGGGCTGGCAGAAAGAGCAACGGGGCCTCCCTTCTGCGCTGAACTGAGGTGAAAACCAACAGCATTGTTTGCAGCAGACACATTCTGACTTTAAAGTTAAAAATTGAGTCCCCAAGTATAGGATGTTGTTTAGGGAACTGGCCTAACATCCACCCCCATGGTTCTGCTCCCCTGTTTTAGAAATGAAGGTAGCGCTAGCTTGCATCCGCATCTCAGGCCCACACAAAACTTCAGGCCGGTAAACTCTGGTGGTGATGATGGGGCGGCGGGAGGTGCCCAGCAAATGCACCCATCCAAGCAAGACCCTTTCCCCAGGCCTGCTGGGTTGTGCCAGGTGGACTGAGGTCCCTTCTGGAGTGGACTTCACATGTGCAGGCCCCTCAGACGGGCATCCACCCCTTAGTGCCTCAGTGGCTTCCCCTGAGGCAGAGCTTCCGGCCAACGCTGGCCACACCCCATGCCAGCCCTGCCTGCACACAGAGCCCATGATGGCTCCCTGCTCTGCACTCGGACAGATGCCGTTGTTGTAACTATGGCTCCTGGGTTTGCATAATGCCTCCTTCCTGGCTCCCATGCCCCCCAGCATGCACGCTCAGGCTCTGATCCAGCACAGGCTGCTTTTATTCCAAAGATTTCATGAGGCCATCCCACGAGTCATAAATAATCGAGGGTGCTCAGATGCTGCGTCCAGGTGTGTTGACTGACAGCCCTCCCCACCGGCCACGGCCGGCCTCCCGGATTGGAGCCTGCCCCTTCTCAGCTCTCCCCTGAATGGCATCCCTTCTACTGAATCCTGTGTCTGTAGATCCCTGAATTGCCTGCCCACCCTCCTTCCTGTTTCTAGGCCCTCTCAGCCCCAGCCACCCCCACAGCTCCCCCATCCAAGTCGGGACAAGTGCCTGGAACTCATTCTCACTGAACCGAGTAGGGCTGGGGCCCACTCAGCCACCCACACGATGACAGCTGAGGGCAGTTGCTGTGGGGTATCTTCTCAGAGGAGGCACACTCTGAGCAGAGGGGACTGTTAGTGTCCAAGTGCGGAGGAGAGGGAAGAGGGCATGTCCAGGAAGGACGGATGTGCCCCAGACCCAGAACCCGAGAGACTAGCCCAGAGACTCCCTCTCACAATCTTGCTGGCTGTGGCTGCCTGGTCCACACACACATCTTCATGGATGCAGCCTCCAGCTCCCACCCCCAAGCCATGACCCCTGAAGGCCTGACCAGAGGACATGGTGGCCAAGGGCGTGGCCTCCAACCATAGCCCTCCTCTCAGGTGACCCACCACTGGGAGACAAAGTGTAGGGAGAGAGATGGATAGACCCATGGGACCTGGAGTGGAGACCAAGACCAAATCCTACCTTGCCACCAAGGCCGCGGCAAGGGAACAAACTGCTCCCTCTCATGGGTTGCTGTTGCTAAGATTAATGAGCTAACTAAAGTATGAAGACAGTTCTTGTACACTTAAAAAGAGGTGATCAACCATCATAAATTAATCACAATTAGCACCCCTCCTCCGGGCAGTCTGCCTGGATTAGGTCCACTGAGCGTAGTTTCTCCTCTCCCAAATGACAGGAGGCTGCACGCGCCCTTGCAGGGGCATCTGAGCTGCCGAGGGCTGCACTTCTCCAATCCCCAGATCCTTCAAACTCTTTCCAAGGCTCTGCTGCAAAATGACTGTGTGTTTTCACATCTATTGAGCACCAACTGTGTGCCAAGCTCTTGGTACTTGGCCTTCTACACATAACACAGTGCTCAGGAGGATGCGCTATGAGGAGCTCCCTTTTATAGATACGGAAATTTGAAGACAGAGCCCTAACTCCTTATATAAGTTAACCCCTGCCCTGGGCCGTGGGGCCAGTTAGGCCAGGGAAGGGTGGAAGATGGACAGCCACACCTCTTCAGCTCCCACTACTTCAAATCCGATAGAGCTGCTGCTACTGCTGCTTCAGGCTTGTGAATAGGGGTGCCATCTCCCCAACTTCACACTCCTTCTGCTCCCTCCTGAGCACGTAGGTAAGGCTGACTCGGAAGAGACGCCTAGGCCCTTGACACCAAATTAAAACCAGAATCCCAGAGAGAGGGAGAGCATGGATTTTTTTTTTTATAAATAAAATTTTTTTTATAAAAAAAAAAGAAAAAAAAAAAAAAAAAAAAAAAAAAACAACCAGAAGCCCTCCCTGTAATCATCCCCAGGACAGAGTGTTCTTGGAACTGAAGTCGAGGTTAGGGGCTACTGGGGACAGCCTTGCCACCCCTTATCTAACAGTGATCCCCAGACACAGGAATAGTGTCTGAAAAATGCTTATCACAGAGCACAACCAGGCCCTAAGGTCAGAGCCTGACCACCCAGAGCACCCCCAGACCCAAAAGATTCCCTGGCCGGCCCACCTCACCTGAGTGGCCCACAGCTCCACCCCTCCTCCAGAAGGAGCCTCCAGGATCCCCAAGTTCAAGGCTGGCTGGTGCCTGGACCAGGCACCCACGCTCCCCAGGGCCCGAGCAGTTGCCCTCCAAGGGCCCCCAGTACCCACAAGCCTGACCCATCAGATCATGGAGCTGCCTTCCTCCTTTCTCCTAACAGCTGATCCCCAAACCTTCCTGCCTCCACCTCGCCCAGTGACTCAAAAGTGCCCCTCCCCAGGAACATGGCTGGGGACAGGAAAGGGGGGTCCAGGAGATGGTAGAGGGGTGGCAGAGAGAGGGCTGCTGCTCTGCACACACCCCTTGGCCCCACTGCATCCACCAACACAGACAGCAGCTGCTCAACTCACTCAAGCATTGGCTCAGGTCTCAGGGCTCCAGGCTCAAGATCAGGGCCTCCTCAGTGGGACACCTGCAAAGAGACAGCAGGGAAGAGGTGAGAGGACAGTCAGATTGGGGCCTGCAGACCCATCCTGCAGTCCAATCCCACCCAAGCCCCTGCCCAGCCTGGGCTTCCCCATGCACTGGGCCAGACAGAGCAGGAGGAGACCTGGACCCTGCCCTCTGGAAGCTTGCGGGCAGCCTAAAGATGCCACATTCATTCCAGAGTCAAGATTGCACTTTCGGTAAAGAAAGGGCCTGGGCTACAGCAGGCTGGGATGCAGGCACCCGCACGGCCCCAGAGGACACACAAACTGGACTTGCAGCACAGCCCCCACCTATCCAAGCCTGTCTGCAGTGGAAGTCACAGTTCTCTGGCCCCTGGACACACAGGGCTGAACCTCAAATCCTCCCTCCTGAGGCCACATGTGGTTCATGGTCCCTAGGAGCACAGAGGAGCTGGTGGGAAGGGAGTACGCACGGCTGCCTTCGCACGTCTGCCTGAGGCCTTTACCTGGCCCCCGTCTCAGCTTTGTCACTGGTTCACCCTGTGACCCTCACTGTGCCTCCCATCAGTACAAGCAGGTGTAGCAGAGTTGCTGGGACTTGTGCAAACACAGCTTGCTGGGCTCCACCCCAAGACTTTCTGACCAGTAGGTCCTGGGGGCGGGGGGGCCTGAGGATCTGCATTTCCAACAAGCTCCCAGGTAATGCTGATGCCGCTGGTTGGGGATCACACTTTGAGAACTGCTGGCCTTGAAGATGTGTCCAGCCTGGAAAGTACAAAGCCCATACCCTCAAGGAGTTCCCAGGCTACATGGGAGACCACTCATACACACACATGCACGTGTGCGCACATATCTTACTCCCAGCGGCCACGGTGGAAATGTGGCTTCTGAACACTAAGGAGATCTGACAAGGGCAGGCGGTGGGCTGGTGCAGTCACGGAAGGCTTCCCAAAAGAGGTGAAGACCTAAATGACTACCTTCACATATTATAGTCTTAATATGCAAATAACACATGAAAGCATTCTCTTTTTAAGAGGTTCAAATACAGTAGTCTGTACAGTAAACACCCTCATTCCCAGTCACCTCTCCAGAGGTACTGAATGCCATCCCTTTGGCGTGAAACTTTAACTGTGCACTTGCACACGTGTGCAGAGAGGTGTACACAGACACGGGGGTATATACCAGGGATCACAGCCCCTATACTTGTGTGCACCTGCATTCCTCACTTCACAACAGATTTTTGAGACCTTTCCTTGTCCATACACAGCAATAACCATGCTTGTGCTCACTGAGCACCTAATGTGTGCCAGACACTGGGCTGAGTGCTGTACCTCTTAACTCATCTGATCCTATTAATAGCTCCCTAAGTGGGTGCTGTTTTGATCCTCATTTTGTAGATGAGAAACTGCAGTGGGCCAGGTGCGGTGGTGCACACCTGTAATCCCAGCACTTTGGGAGGCTGAAGGGGTAGGATCGCTTGAGCCCAGGAGTTCAAGACCAGCCTGGGCGACATAGCAAGACCCTGTCTCTACAAAAAAAAAAAAAAATTAATTTAAAAAAGTAGCTGGGCATGGTGGTGTGCACCTGTGGTCCTAGCTACTCAGGAGGCTGAGGCAGGAGGATCACTTGAGCCAAGGTGGAGGCCACAGTGAGCTATGATCGTGCCACTGCACTCCAGCCTAGGTGACAGAATGAGACTTCATCTCCAAAAAAGAAAAACCAAAAAAGAAAGAAAAGAAAAGAAAACTGAGGTGCAGAGTAGAGTGGTGACCAGTAAGCCGCCTGAGTATACAGCCAGGGCATAGTGGAGCCAAAGTGTGGATCTGGGCTGTGAAGCTCCAGCATGTTCTGCTAATGGACAGTCACAGCTGAGCTCTCGTGGTGCTGCACTGAGGCATGCCACGTGGGGTGTACCCTCACCTGTGTAACCAGGCCCCCAAGGATGAGTGCTTAGGTGTTTCCAATTTTTTATTTCAAACATTGCTGGAAAAAAACATCCTGTCTCATTGCACACACGTGTAAGTATTTCTCTGGGTGCAGTCCTAAAGGGTAGATCAAAGCGTATACATGTTTTACATGTCGATACTTGCTTCCAAGTTGACCTCCATAAAACATCTGTACTGATGTGCAACTGTCCATTTCCTCATGTGAGCCCTATGTTAGAACAGTTCCCATTTACTCAGCACTTGTTGTGCATCAGATTCAGTAACATCTGGGTTGTCACCTCCATTCTGCAGAAAAGGAAACTGGCTCAGAGAGGTTATGCTGCTTACCCAAAGTCACAGAGCATAGCAATTTGCCTCAATATTGTAAAAGAGAAGAGAAGGGAGGGAAGAAAGGAGAAAGGGAGGAAGGGGAGGAAGGAGGGAGAGGAAGGAGGGAGAGAAAAAGACAGAGAGGGAGGGAGGGAAATTCCTTGACCTCACATACCCTCCCATTTGTCTGCTTCCCTTTAATAGCAAAACTCACGGACTGTCTCTACTGTCTCCACTCCTTCACTTCCAGTTCCCTCTCCAGTTCTGTCCCCACCACTCCACAAAACTGCTCTTATCAAGGTCCCCCAGAAATCTCAGTTTTGCCAAGCCCAATAGTCATTCTCTGTTCCCCCACCGGTCCCTGAGCTTTCAGCAGCATCTGACATGGCTGATTGCTTTCTCCATCAGAAGACATTTTATCTCCGGGTTTCCAGGACTCGGCCTCTCCGGGCTGTCCTCCTACACCTTCTCCCCTCTTACCTAACTTCCCTCCAAGCATCTGAGGCCCCAGGGCTCACCAGGACCTCCTCTCCATCTCATCCTGTCTGCAGACTCCTCAGCTTTAAACCCCTGCTGTGCCCCAGGTCCCTCTCACCAGCCTCAGCTCCCTCCTCAGCACCAGCTTATGTTCAGAGGCCTATTTGTCATCTCCACTGCTCATCTAACAGAACTGTCCAAAACATAACTCTTCATTTTTATCCCCAAATTACATCTCCCTCAGCCTTGACTTCTCTCTTTCTCCCTCAGCCCATACCCAAGCCGTCAGCAAACCCTGTCAGGTCTACCCCAGAACACGTCTGGAACCTGACTGCTTCCCCCAGCTCCTCTGCCCTGCCCTGGCCAGCTCTTGCCCGGATTACTGAAACAGCCTCCTCCCTCACTCAGCTCCTTGCCTCCATCTCTGGCCCCAAACTATCAGAGCAGCACAATGACGTGAGAATCAGGCCCTGCGGCTGCCCTGCCATGAGCCCATGGTACAGTTTGAACTCAAGTTCAAACTCTCTCCAAAGCCGTCAAGGCCCTGCCCACCTCTCAGAAATCATCTTCCACCACAATCGGCCTCCCTCCCACATGGGCCAGTCTCAGAGTCTCTGCCCTCTTGCTCCTTCTACTGAAGGTTCTTCCCCCAGGCTTTCTTACCATCCCATTCAAATGAGCCCTCTTACCATCCCTAGTCGCCCTAGGTAAAATGCCCACCATGCACCCCAGTCTCTCCCAACTTTCTAAGCATTTCCTCCGCCTGACATTATCTTGTTTATTTATATGTGGCCTTGTTTCTTGTCTGCCTCCTCATCACAACATAAACTCCATAAGGCATGCAGGGCCTGAAGCCACCTCTTTCACCTCTGGATTCACCTCTGTACTATGTGCAGTGCTTGGCACCCAGGAGACAGTCAATATATATTTGCGGAAGGAAGGAAGGAAGGAAGGAAGGAAGGAAGGAAGGAAGGAAGGAAGGAAGGAAGGAAGGAAGGAAGGAAGGAAGGAAGGAGGGAGGGAGGGGAGGGAGGGAGGGAGGGAGGGAGGGAGGAGGGAAGGAGGGAGGGAGGGAGGCAGGCAGGAGGCACAGTCAGCTCTACGAGGCTCTGAAGCCTGTGTTCTCACTCCCTACATGAACTGCCTCCCATATGAAGAAGCGGGCAGGAGCCAGAGGGCATGCCCAGTAGGCAGGACACGCTGCAAAGGCAGGGAGGTGGAAGCCAGACTGAGGCCTGGCCAGCTGGCGCAGCAGAGCACACTGCACAGCACTGGGGTCCCAGCCTCCCTGGGATAACAGGCCCAGTAGCCCCCACCCCAGGGGTTCTGGGGCTCTTAACACCTGCCAACCTGTCCCATTCAGGAGGGAGCCTTGGGGGCGGCCGGCAGCTGAACGCGACTGGCGGGGGGCCAGGATGCCTGCCAACAGCTGGCGCCACTGCCAGGCAGCCCAGTAATTGTGTTCACAGCGGAAATTGGTCCAGGGAGTTTTTTCCTTTCGCCTCCCATTTTCTTTCTCTTCCCTTCCCCCCTTGGAGCTGCAAGACTCAGAAGATTGATCTTTGCCTGAAACGGAGGAGATAACTCGATATAATGAACTCCACTGTCCCTCTTGCTGTTTGGAGCTTTTAAAAAATTTAAAAGGGCTAGGGACAAAAAAGCAAGTCCTTGGGGGCCTCTGGGGTTGCTTCCCCTCCTTCAGAAGCCCCTGGCCCTACTCCTGTGCCCCTCTGCAACTCCCCATCTCCTTCCTTTTCCCTTCTTTTTCCCTTGGGATACCTTGATGGAACAAAGGTTAAAAATAACCCCTTTCTCTTGCAGGCTTTAAAAATAATTTTGGTGAGGTCAGGGCTGGGTCCACCAATCACCCTGCCTCCCACGCCCCCCGCCACTGTGATCACCCCCTCTTCCAAGAGTCACCAGCCAGCCTGGGGGTGACAAGTTGGCTCAGTCCACCTTTTCTCAAAGCATTTCAGGAGGCCCAGCCCACCTACTGAGGTGCTGCCAAAGACAGCTTTTGTTCCTGCAAGTGGTTCTTTAAAGAGCCACCTATGATAAACAAAGGGAGCACAGTACCGGCTGGGATGGCTGCGACAGAGAAGCTGCCCCTGCTTTCTGGGGGACTGTGCCTCCCCTCAACCCATCAGCCAGCGGCCCCTCCAGCCAGCGGCTCCTGGGTTCTGTGCCCCGCATGCATTCACATATTCAGTTAGCGTTTATGGAGCACCTATCCTGTGCCAGGCACTGAGCCGAGAGCTGGGGACCCAGGGGACCACCAAACCCTTCTGATT